CAGGAAGAGTGGGGTAGCCAAAACATCTTGGATTTGGGGAAGGGATCCAGCCCTATTTGCTTTCTTTTTTAATGACATGTGACATGCAGAATGTGGCACACAGCAGTAAAGCTTGGAGTTACTTGTGCAATTCAGAAAGAAGACTAACCATAGCCTCACCTTTTACTCCTTTATATTCCTCTTTGAATGATCATGGGGTCTTAAGTAATATGGTATCCTCATATGAGGATTCTTGTTCAATGGGCTCCTTTTGATTTTGTATCCTCTGATCTTTAATTGTCCTTTCCATTTCATTCAGCAATATTGGTGTCCGAAACTATACCAGACTTCGCAGCAGCAGGAAAATATGTTTGGCTAATGTGGGCCAAAATCAAGAAACTACCAAAAATCTGAAGTGATTGCGCCACACACCCCAATACATCAATACAGCCAAATGAGCAAACACACAACCCACTGCAAACGTTGCATTCATTTCTGCCTGTATACTGGTTGAAGCTAACCTCTAGCTCAGCCACCTCATATATTCCCTTTTTACTATGAGAAGGAATAATTTACATACAAGCTGTATACAGAATACAGCACTGAGGGTCAGGGAAATAAATATGTGGACCAGCACAGAACACAGAGACCACATTCCTTAATGCCTGTTTATGGCTCCTGTCAGAAGCAAACTGCAGTAACTTTACCATAATGTTTAAGGTAGGCCAGATTAGGGGTGGTCAGCTTCTGGGTCATTTTCCCACTTGTGATTTTATGGCATGTCTCTGTGTTCAGTGCAAGAAAATTTCACCCAAATTTGTCTTCCTATCTTTAAAAATATCATTTTTTATTATATCAGAAGTATGATTTGTCAGTTAATTACAGCATTCCTATCTTAAAAGAAAGTCTGTTCTGTTAAACACAGGTCATCTTGTATATATTGGTGCTCTTTTTATTTTATTTTCAGAAACCACGGCTCAAGTGAATTTTCCCACGCTCTAGTCTGTTGCCATACAAACGTTTGTCAGCAGAGCTGGATCGAACAATGGCAGTGATGAGCCAGTAGAATTTTTAAGTAAAGTCACTTTTGCCATGCTCACTCCCCTTTGTGCTAATTTTGCAGACATGTGGGTGATCACATTTTATTAGCACATGGATGATAGAACCTGAATCTTGAGTATTCACTTTGGAAGTAAATGTTTACTTCATCTGCCCAATTGGGAAATAGAAATAATGCCATGTGACTTATCAGCTGCAGTTATCCAGCCCAGATGAAATAATGAATATGAAATGCACACAGGAAACGGTTAGAAATCAAACATACAGTTTAAAAAGTACAAAAAATTGTCATAATTTCAAATAGCAAATTCCACAAGCTAAAAAAAGAGCCTAAATTCATCAAAGAATTTGTTATGAATTGTTCCGTCCATTCTAGTGATAACCTGGAAGAGTTGGGCCCCCTGTATTTTGGTAATAATAATACCGTAGTCTTTCCTCTGCTGAAGCTTCATATTTCAAAAAGTTGTTCTTCTCCAAAATTTATGGACTGAAGACTTTGTAGGTTTCTGGTATAATATAGCCTGCAGTACTGCCATTCTTTATTTAAACTAGGATTCTGTACAAAAGATTACTTTATAATTCCATTTACAATATTTTGCTTGGTGTCAATATAAAGTTCTCATGCAAAATAATCACAGCCTGTTATTTTATTTTTAACTATATTTCTGAATACTTGGAATATGACATGTGCATACACTGTGTTATTTTACTCAAAATATTGGTGGTTTAAGTGTTAGATACATATGGTAAAGGTTAGATTTACATATTTTCCTATTCCCTTACAATTTTTCAAATGGTTCATGAGAAAACCAGGAGTTGTTGGTACTTGTCATGACTTATTCTGCAGAAAAAAATATTTTTTGTCTTTTCTATTAACTTTCCAGGACTGTCTTCAGTGGATAAATCTTAAATAGTGTTATGAGATTTTCCAGAATAAAATAATTTTAATAAAGAGCTGAAGCATTTTTTCTTCTTAATTTGAATGGCTTCAACCCTCTCACTGTTGTGTGAAGACACCTCTCTAACATTTTATGAAAGACGCTTTTTTACCTACTTGCATTACCAGCAGGACAGTGGGTTGGGAGGGGGTATTGTTTCATGGTCTCTGTGTGTATTTTACCAGCAGGACAGTGGGGTGGGAGGGGGTATTGTTTCATGGTCTCTGTGTGTATATAATGTCTACTGCAGTTTCCACGGTATGCATCCGATGAAGTGAGCTGTAGCTCACGAAAGCTCATGCTCAAATAAATTGGTTAGTCTCTAAGGTGCCACAAGTACTCCTTTTCTTTTCACTTTAGATAAGCTATTACCAGCAGGAGAGTGGGGTGGGGGGAGAGAAAAACCTTTTGAAGTGATAAACACCCATTTCTTCATTGTCTGTGTGTATAAAACATCCTCACTGCATTTTCCACTGAATGCATCCGATGAAGTGAGCTGTAGCTCACGAAAGCTTATGCTCAAATAAATTGGTTAGTCTCTAAGGTGCCACAAGTACTCCTTTTCTTTTTGCAAAGACAGACTAACACGGCTGTTACTCTGAAACCTTAGTTTGAACCCACACTAACACTGCTTTGATATTCACATACAAGTGACAGAGTAGCAGCCCTGTTAGTCTGTATCCATAAAAAGAAAAGGAGTACTTGTGGCACCTTAGAGACTAACTAATTTATTAGAGCATAAGCTTTTGTGAGCTACAGTTCACTTCATCGGATGCATACAGTGGAAATATAGCTCTCCACTATATTTTCCACTGTGTGCATCCAATGACGTGAGCTGTAGCTCACGAAAGCTTATGCTCAAATAAATTTGTTAGTCTCTAAGGTGCCACAAATACTCCTTTTCTTTTTACATACAAGTGAATTGTCCTAAGACTCTAGCATTCCCTGTCACTCGGCCTGTCAGTGTCATAGGAGCACACAAGGTCTTGGATAGGCTTCAGAGTGGTAGACGTGTTAGTCTGTGTCAGCAAAAACAACAAGGAGTACTTGTGGCACCTTAGAGACTAACAAATTTATTTGGGCATAAACTTTCTTGGGCTAACACCCACTTCATCAGATATTTCCACTCCATGCATCTGATGAAGTGGGTTTTAGCCCACTAAAGCTTATCCCCAAATAAATGTGTTAGTCTCTAAGGTCTTGGATAGTTCCTCACAGTCTAAATCCACCCTGGAACAGCCACCATATGATTTGTTGTTGTGTCCTTATGTTTTCTCTGTAATAAACAGTTCATGTAAAATTTATCACTTACATCAAACACAGCTTATTTAGTCTGAACTGATAAAGCACAGAATTCTGAATATATTTATTTTGTGTCATATATTTATCATCCTGGATCTTTGTAAGGATGCGACGTACAATGATACTTCTCGGGCTGACTGACAGAAAATGGTATGTACAATGGAATAGTAGAGAGATAAAAGAAAAGACAAATAGGTGATGCTAGAATTTCAACAAAGACTACTTGTTCTTGCAGGATCAATCTTGTTTTGCAGTATGCATTGTTATTGCTTCAGTTCATTTTGGGGAACTTGTACTGTAAGCGTGAGCTGTCTGATTTTGCTAAAGACAGACTGCAGGTATACTGAAAGTTTTACTCAAACTGAGCGAATTCACCCAACATGGTATGGTAGGTCTCGGTTCAGCAGAGTCACTATGATTTAGGAAGAAGGAAGTGAATGGTATGTATCTCTGAATCCTTTATACAAGGTAGAACTGGGCACTGGTCCTCGTAGGTCAGGGCAGATGGACTGTTTGGCAGCAAACCAAGTGAGGAGCAGTGGTTCCAGATAATGGGTGTCCAGTAATCCCAAGCCTCAGTGGCTGGAGTGGCTACAACAAAGGGCCTATGCAACTTCTCTACACGCTGTGTCCTGATCAGAGGGCAGATATGGTTTTCCTCAACCTTTGCACCATTCCCTCACACTAAGCCCATTTTACTCAGGCTCTGTGCCAGTATTGTGTGAATTTCAGCTTGAAAGCCATGTTCTACTGTCAGATTTCACATGCACAAATCCTGCTAAAGTCAGTGGAAAATGTGGGTGTTTATATGAGGGAAAAATTCAGCCCTAAGAATTAAAGGCATGTGAGATTTCTTCATTTAATTCGGAGATGCTGCACATACATCTGACTCCTGAGACACAAAATCAGGGCAGTTTTCCTGGGCACTATTCCCTTGAGTGCAGAGACAAAGTTGTACCTGATTTGAAGTATTCCTTTAGAGCCCAGTTCTGCAAGATGCTGAACATGTGCTGAGATGATCTGAAATCCTCAAATCCCATCTTCATTTGGCTCTAAGGATGCTCAGCGCCTCACAGGATCAAGACTGTACATTTGAGAGACATTTGCAGAGTTAGTTTCAATTAGGCATATATTTGCAAAGATGTAAAAGATATCAGCTGTGTGATTTTGGTGCATTAGTTTTGCTTTTTAATTTACATTGTACCTGGATACAGTGAACAAAAGACACAGTACATGGTTGTTTTCTGTATTAGATATCAATTTTGTCACATAATGATTATAGTAATTAAATGAATCTTTTCTGCAGTCAGTAATATTTAAGCCTAACATTTCCAATTTTAATTAAGTACGCATGTGTGCACATGTGTGTATAATTAGTTTTCTTTCTTCATTTCATCTTTATGAGAGTTTCCTGTAGTGCATTGGATTTAGATTATGTTAAAACTTAGAAGGGCCTTTGATGAAAGAATAAATAATTCAGATTAAACCTACAATTCTATAAAGTTGTGTTAGAATGGTAGAAGTAAAAAGGGGGGAAGTTCTATGTTCATATTCTTTCTGGCATTGAAAATAACAAAAAAAAAAAAAAAAAACAAACAAAAACCCAGGGTTTTATCTATACATTTCTAACTGTATTGGTGGGTGAATCATTGCCACATTTAATACATGTATTCACTGTTGTCAGGTTCTTTGCTGAGGATACTCTTGTTTCTTTGTGTACAGAGAGTTTGGATGGAGAGATCCAGAACTTCCTGAAGTTATACAGATGTTACAGCATCAGTTCCCTTCAGTACAGTCCAATGCTGCAGCCTACTTGCAGCATCTCTGTTTTGGAGACAATAAAATAAAAGCAGAGGTAAGACACTTTGAGATTTTCTTTTAAAATGGCTTTGTCTGCTAATTACCACCAGAAATTTTGTATAATTTGAAAAAGAACGTCAAGAGAAATCATGTATATATGCATATAACCTGTATATTCAAGCTTTTAAATAATCACTACCATTACAGAAGGTGAGTTACATAAAATTTTATTGAATCAGCCCCTTGGATGATTCATTTGTTTGGATTTGATTATTTTAAATTGAATGTGAGGTATTCAAATGTTGTGGCAGCCTAGGTGTCCAATAAGCAAGTAATGGCATGATCTGGCTTCCATAGAAGTCATAGGAATTTTGCTTTTGATTTAAATAGAAACAAGATTGGGACCTAAATAAAAGAAAAAGCTGAAATACATAAATAAATGTGTAATGTGTACTACATTCCTAATAGAAACAAGAACACAAAACATGGGGCAATAAAAAGGGTTCTGAGCCCAAACTCTGTTTTCATTTATACTAGTGTAAATCAGGAGTAATTCCATTGAGTTGAATCAGAGATTTGCCCAAACAAGAACTTCAAGATTTGGCCCAAGATTTTTAGCCTGCAAAAACCAAACTTATTATTTCATTATTTCACCCAATTTTTAGGAAATAATTCTAACAAAAATAAAAAATAAAAAGCAGATGGCTCAGTACAATTTCTATCTAAAACTTCACAAAAACCATAGTCCCAGATCCTCAGCCCTCGCTGGCCCGCACTTGGCATTGGTGGGGGAGAGAGACCTCTGTGCTCCCTTGATCTCAGTGGCTGCTGGTAGCCAGCTCAGCTCCTGCCGGAAATTTAAAACAGCCACAGAGGTGCTCTAAAATTATCCCAGTGCAGTACACTCCAAACACTCCTCCCTCCACCATGCTCAACGGAAGAGCCCCCTATATGAGCTGTACTCCACCCTGGGATTCCTCCATACATATGGAATTCCCAGATGGGAAAGCTTTTTCAGAACAGCCTAAAAAGATTGCATTGGTCCAAGGAACTGTTCCGTGATTTTTTGAGATCCAAACATAAATTATAGGAGAGTTAAAATAAAATATTTTTCTCTGTCTCAAAAGAGGTCATAACTGCTATAAGCCTAGATGTACCCCCTCCCACACCCTTCTTACCCTTTTCTCTCATTCCATCTCCGCTGCTCAGTCTTGATTCATCTCTTCAGGTTTCCCAGAAAGACAGTTACATGATTATAGCAATTTATTCATTGTACAACCACTGCTTCCTCCTGTTAGCCATGCATGGGGAGCCCTTGGGCAGCTGTCCAACTGAAGGGAAGAAAGTTGTTTGTTTTGTTGCCAACTGTGTATGGAAAATCCCTTAAGAGATAGGCTGTTGTAGGTCTGACCTGTCTGATTAGGACATCAATCTTTGACTATAGTTTAAGCTTTCAGAGTAATGAGCTTGTTGTTCTTTGTATATTTTGTGTGTACTGATAAAGTATAAAGTACCACAGTGCTCAGCACCACTCTTATATTTTGCTGCCAAAAAAGGATAACAAATAAAATAAGAGATTTTGCTGGTGATGGTGACGTGTTTTTCCCTTTATTGGTTCTTCTCGAGGCCCTTGATAGATTTCTACCTCTGCAACAAGCAAGATGCATTTGAGGGCAAGACAAATCATTTTTTAAAAACAGTGCTCATGAGAATATGCTTTCAAACTGCTGCTGGTGGTGCTATAGATCTTGCTAACAAACAGTGGAATCTGTCTCCTTTTCTTTTGCTTTATGAAGAGTTTTTAACCTAAAGGACGCAAAGTGAGCAAGCTCCTTATTAATGATCATATGTATAAGTACCGGAAAGCTCTTATTTATAGCACTCTGATTCCCTTGAATGAAATGTGCTTTATGGGCACGTCTGCAGTGCAGCTGGGAGAGAGCCTCCCAACCTGGCTAGACAGACTCATGCTAACAGGGCTCAAGCTAGCACACTAAAAATAACAGTGTGGACTCCTAGACTCCTAGACTCACTTAGGCTGCAGCTCAGGCTGTCAACCCTACCTGAATCCCTGCGCTTGAGAACCTGAACTCCAGCCCAAGCCCCGCTGTTCACGCTGCTGTTTTTAGTGCACTGGTGCCCATATTTAGTGCAACTATAGTGCCCATCTTTTAAAAAGGGAAGAAGGAGAACCTGAGGAACTACAGACCGGTCAGCCTTATGTAGCAGGTCCTCAAGGAAACCATTTTGAAGCACTTGGAAGAGAAGAAGGTGATCAGGAACAGTCCACATGGATTCAGCGGGGCAAGTCATGCCTGACCAAACTGATTGCCTCCTATGATGAGATAACTGGCTCTGTGAATATGGGGAAAGTGGTGGATGTGATATATCTTGACTTTAGCAAAGCTTTTGATACGGTCTCCCACACAGTATTCTTGCCAGCAAGTTTAAAAAGTATGATTGGATGAATGGACTATAAGGTGGATAGAAAGCTGGCTAGATTGTTGGTCTCAATGGGTAGTGATCAACGGCTCAATGTCTTGTTGGCAGCCGGTATTAAGTGGAGTGCCCAAGGGTTGGTCCTGGGGCCAGTTTTGTTCAACATCTTTATTAATGATCTGGATGATGGGATATGCTGGAGAGTAGGGATAGGGTCCAGAGTGACCTAGACAAATTGGAGGATTGGGCCAAAAGAAATCTGATGAGGTTCAACAAGAACAAGTGCAGAGTCCTGCACTTAGGACAGAAGAATCCCATGCACCGCTACAGGCTGGGGACCGACTGGCTAAGCAGCAGTTCTGCAGAAAAGGACCTGGGGAATACAGTGGACGAGAAGCTGGATATGAATCATCAGTGTGCCCTTGTTGCCAAGAAGGCTAACAGCATATTGGGCTGCATTAGTAGAAGCATTGCCAGCAGATCGAGGGAAGTGATTATACCCTCTATTCGCCACTGGTGAGGCCACATCTGGAGTATGGCGTCCAGTTTTGGGCACCCCACTACAGAAAGGCTGTGGACAAATTGGAGAGAGTCCAGCGGAGGGCAACAAAATTGATTAGGGGGCTGGGGCTCATGACTTATGAGGAGAGGCTGAGGGGACTGGGATTGTTTACTCTGCAGAAGAGAAGAATGAGGAGGGATTTGATAGCTGCTGTCAACTACCTGAAAGGGGGTTCCAAAGAGGATGGATCTAGACTGTTCTCAGTGGTACCAGATGATAGAACATGGAGTAATGGTCTCAAGTTGCAGTGGGGGAGGTTTAGGTTGGATATTAGGAAAAACTTTTTCACTAGGAGGGTGGTGAAGCACTGGAATGGGTTACCTAGGGAGGTGGTAGAATCTCCATCCTTAGAGGTTTTTAAGGCCTGGCTTGACAAAGCCCTGGCTGGGATGATTTATTGGTGTTGGTCCTGCTTTGAGCAGGGGGTTGGACTAGATGACCTCCTGAGGTCTCTTCCAAGCCTAATCTTCTATGATTCTATGATTCTAAGGCTGTTTGGGTTGAGAGACTTGTTCCCAGATGCAGTGTGGACATATCCTGCAAGGTCATGATTCAGCAAAGCACCTAAGCACAAGCTATGTGTGTGCTTTAGGCTCAAGACTTTGCCCAAATGGGGATGGGATTACTCTGATGCTTAGAATTAAGTATGTGCTTAAATACTTTGCTGAATCAGGGTTTTATAGATCACCGGAAGGAACTCAAAAAGAAAAAGAGCACTTGTGGCACCTTAGAGACTAACAAATTTATTTGAGCGTAAGCTTTTGTGAGCTACAGCTCACTTCATCGGATTCATGCAGTGGAAAATACAGTGGGGAGATTTATATACACAGAGGACATGAAACAATGGGTGTTACCAGGCACACTGTAACAAGGATGATCAGGTAAGGTGAGCTATTACCAGCAGGAGAGTGGGGTGGGAGGGAAACTTTTGTAGTCAAGTTAATCAAGGTGGGTCATTTCCAGCAGTTGACAAGAGCGTGTGAGGAACAGTGGGGGGTGGGGGGAATAGTTTTACTTTGTGTAATGACCCATCCACTCCCAGTCTTTATTCAAGCCTAAGTTAATTGCCCCTTTTAGGTCTGTAATCGAGTGTCCAAAGAGATTGAAGTGTTCTCCGACTGGTTTTTTAATATTATAATTCTTGACATCTGATTTGTGTCCATTTATTCTTTTACATAGAGACTGTCCAGTTTGACCAATGTACATGGTAGAGGGGCATTTCTGGCACATGATGGCATATATCACATTGGTAGATGTGCAGGTGAACGAGCCTCTGATAGTGTGGCTGATGTGATTAGGCCCTATGATGGTGTCCCCTGAATAGATATGTGGACACAGTTGGCAACGGGCTTTGTTGCAAGGATAGGTTCCTGGGTTAGTGGTTTTGTTGTGTGGTGTGTGGTTGCTGGTGAGTATTTGCTTCAGGTTGGGGGGCTGTCAGTAAGCAAGGACTGGCCTGTCTCCCAAGATCTGTGAGAGTGATGGGTCGTCCTGCAGGATAGGTTGTACATCCTTGATGGTGCGTTGGAGAGGTTTTAGTTGGGGGCTGAAGGTGATAGCTAGTGGCATTCTGTTATTTTCTTTGTTGGGCCTGTCCTGTAGTAGGTAACTTCTGGGTACTCTTCTGGTTCATATTTTTTCATGCTTTGTGTGTATAAAAAGATCTTCTACACAGATCTTTTTATACACACAAAGATCTTCCACAGTATGCATCCGATGAAGTGAGCTGTAGCTCACGAAAGCTTATGCTCAAATAAATTGGTTAGTCTCTAAGGTGCCACAAGTACTCCTTTTCTTCTGGCTCTGTCAATCTGTTTCTGTTGAAGGAACTCAAAGTGCTATAAATAAAACTATATATTACTTCAGATCTCAGGCTCCAATTTCGCAAGTTTCCTAATCATGTGCCTATCTATAAGATAATGAGTAGTCCCACTCACTTATTTGGGATTAATCATGTGCTTACAGTTAGGGTATGTCTACATTTACAACACTACAGTGGCACAGTTGCAGTGTTGCAGCCATCAGCATTGGTAATCCTCCTCCCCAAGAGGCTG